TGTGCCTGACCAATAAATAGTTGAAACAAGATTTTTTTCTACAATATTATTTTTTCCTGTTACAACAATTGCTGATTCATAAGTTTTATAAACAACATTATTTGTTATTGGGATACCATTTGTATCCCATACACCAATTCTTGAACAAAACAATATATTTTCAACCTTAAAAAAGAATAAACTTAACTATAACTTACGCTGAATAATAACCACCATCGAATGAACATGAGTCAATATATGTTGGTCGAGATGAATTCCAATTACCAAGATTATATAAATGAATACCTTCACGTTTATCTTCATTAGCTGCATCAACATATTGACCATAACCAATAAATTGTGTATTAGATAATCGAGCATAACCTTTATAATATGTATAAATATAATCATTTGCTACTGAATTCCATATATTTACTGCATAATCAGTAACAAGAATTCGAAAACCGAATAATTCCGAAGCTGGACTTCGATTAATTACACGTATATTTCGTGTTAAAAGACCAACAGCACCAGCTATGTGAAATATTTTTCCATCTGGAAATACATTATGAATAACAACATGTGTATAAACAAGAGGATTAACAGTTATGATTTTTGTTTTATCTATACTAATATTTGCAATAGTATGTCGTTCTGTATGTTCAATATTTGTATCTGTTGTTGTTAGTATAATTTCTTCACCAATTTTCCAATCAACTGGTTGACTTAATATAATTGAATTTTGACCAGATGAAGCTGTTGTAACGAGACGTGTCCATGAAACATTACGTTTTAGACCATGTAAATCAAGACCACCTAAAACACCGATGACTTGAGGTCCTATAGAGCCAGCATCATTAGGTAATAAAACATTGATAGATGAAGAACCATTGATGATAATATCAACTTTAGAAGTAAGTGGTTTATTCGGCCAACCTATTGAAATCATATTTTAATGAAAACCACATGAAAAATCTATTACTTACCAACAATCAATTGACCTCCATTAATTAGAATACTATCAACAACGAGAGTATTATCAATACCCTAAAAACAAAACGAAAGAGTTTTAATCTTGATTAAAAGAAAAAATCAAACGAAAAAAAAACAAACTTGTTCGAACTCAAGTACACCATCGATACGTAATGAACGAATACGAGGTAATGGATAATTGACAACAAGCCATATACCACGAGGAATCAATATATTTGTATCATTACCAGGTTTAATACTTCCTAATATAGAAGAAAAAAATAAAAATAAAAATAAAAATAACAAAATCAATTCAATGAAATATCAATTACCATATCCACCATAGCCTTCTAATGCAAATGACCAATCTGAATTATTTGACCAATACAATGCTGTAGTTGGTCGAACAGTTGCAGGTAATTCAAGACCAGGTTGTGGTGGTGGTTGACAATTAGGATATCGACATTTGATTATATTTAATGAGATTGATACATCAATTGAGACAATATTTGATGATGGATTTTTTACTAGATAAAATAACAAAATTATATAAATATAAAGCATAAAATAACTCAAAATGATTACCAATATAAGAAAATATTGATGTATTAGCATTATAATGCCAGTCACCATTATTATTTGTTGAACCATTAAGTGGTGTATTTGATTGACTAGATACTAATGAACTTGAAGTTGTATAAACAATATCAGGCTTATAATCAATCTTATGACGTATAATAAGATAATCACCAGGTTCTAAACCATAAGCAATACCTGAATAAGACAAATTGACTGAACTCTAATAAAGAGAATAAAAATTCAGAATATGGTCCAAATTATTTTAGTAGAAAAGTATATACGTACATTAGCATTTTGAAATTGAAATAAATAAATATTTTTAGATAATAATGTCATCATATAACCTAACGGATGTGTTAGTCGTTTAGCAAGATTAAGTACAATGGTATGATGATTGAATTGATCATAAACATTTAAATATTCACCATTTTGTCCTAAACTAGCTTTATTAAAAGCAAATCGTATCCATGTACCTAATGATAATGGACATGTAATTGCATTGATAAAGTTCGGTGTTGGTCTACATGCATTTGATGTATTCCAAAGACCATCAGGGGCAAGAATTATTGTACCAGATACGTTAGACAAAGAACCATCTTCGTCTTGATATAAACCATCATACGGCCATCGAAAATTACCTCGATTAGCTACATTTGTAAATGATAATTGAGAAAATTTCGTTAACCAACCTTTTTGGAAAAACACATAAAAAAAACAGATATTTAATAAAAACAATCAGTTTTTTTTCTTGTACCTCCACAATATACAATGCAACGACCAGTAATAAATGGTCCATAAATAGCTTGTGTATTTGAACTTGAAAAATTAATGAATGAAACATTTCGTACACGAAGTCCACGATCCCACATAACTGTAAAAAGAAAAATTAAACATGTTTTGCTATTTACTTTTTCTTAAATATAAAAACTTACCAACAAGACCACCTTCTGTTGGTACGATTGAATTTCCTGATACTCCTGAATCACCAATTATGATTGAATTAATTATTGATGAACCTCTAGTTTCATTATAAAATGTGGCACGAAGATTTGGCAGATTTGTTGCTTGATGATTAATAGCCGTAACACATCGAAGACCCGTATCATAATTATCAAAAACAATTGTATTTCTTATTTGAATTGAACTTGACATAACCCATTCAAAACCTTTAGAGTTTTTCCATGATATTAAACCATCAAATATTGCTTGATAAGGTGCATCATTCCAACAATTACCCGCTACTGTGGGTGAATATTCAGGAAAGATCCAAACACCAAAACGACCAACACTGTGTACACTATTGTTAAAAAATCGACCAAATTGTCGTCGATAAGGACAATAATTGGGATACATTGCAAATGATGGTCCATCAGGTGTTCGAAGCATACGATACCAATAGCCAAAATGAGTACCACCAGCAACAGCATTATTCACAACGATATTATTTGGATTGGTCACCTAAAATTCGAAACATTGTGTCGCCTAAATGAGTTCTCAATTTTTTTTAATATTACCCAAAAAGCAGCTGGTGTTACATCTTCATTGAGTAGACTTGAACTTGTTCGAACAAACACAGCTAAATTACCATTTAATATATTACCCGTTTCAACACCGTCTTCTAAAAAGATTGCTCCACCCCTAAACAATTTCAATCGTGTATCATAAAAACTTTTAATAAAACTCAATAGGTGTACAGGGTGGTAAATAATATTATTCCAGGGGGGTAACACTATGATCTCGAATCGGAGATATCATGAATTTTATACCAAATGAAAGCTCGTGAAAAATGGGGTTTAGTGATAGTAAATAGTAAGACTTTGAAGAACTTTCTTGTATTAATTTATCAAACGTTACGATTTTTATCGACATAAAATATTATAAAATCAGTTCATCGAAAAAGTTCGGGGCTAAACTATATGTTGTACAACTGTTTATTTTCTTATTATTTATTGAGTACAATCAATAATCAGTATGACGACCATTAGCACTCTTTACTGCACGAAGTCGAGATGGATACGAACATAAAAGAGCTTCAAACAATTCGGTATTTTCTTCCATGTCCGTCAAAACATCCGCAATGTGCTTTTTAAGTGTGTCTTCACTATATCGATTATGTCCAGTTTCCGATAACATTTTTTGTTCAACTTCATCTTTCATTATTGATCCAATATGTTCCGCCGCATTGAGATCGGGCGAATTACCAGGCCAAATATCATTGCCCCAAAACTCGATTTTGTTATCTCTAATCAGATGTTGAGTCATGTTTGCTCGCATACACGGTGCTTTATCGTGAACAAATATCACATTATCCAGATCAATTACGTTTTCCTCGTCGGTGAGGAATGGAAATACGTGTTGCATTAAAATAATGTCACGAAAATATTGACCGGTCCAAGATTCACCTTTGTCTTTAATCACCCAATGCATTTTTTTCGCGGTGAAAATGATAAAAATACCGATACACGCTTGGTTTTTAACCATTTCGCGATACCTTTCATCGTCTTCAATATCTTCAACACTTTTTGCCCAAATCCTATCATTTTGATAATTTGGTTTGCGAACTGTCCAAACATAAAATTCATCTGATGGTGCCAGATGAAGAAAATCTTCTTCAGTCCAATCTTTCAACCAATCACAGAGCCATAATCGATCTGATATATGAGTTTCAGATTTTAACGGTCTTGAAATAACATGAAAAGGCTTTAATCCTTCCCTACGACGGTAGTTATTAACTGTTTGTCGAGTAACATATTCTTTTTGTTTCTTTGCAATCTCTTTCGCCACGACAGAACCGCTTTTCCGTTGGTGACCACTTGCTTCACGAATAATGTCCTGAGCAGCTCTCGATAACTTGAGTTTAGGACCAGCATTCGAATAATCAGCAAAACATTGGTCACACGATTTTTCCCACCATTCTGTAACAAATCGAGTCGTACGGTGAATTTTGTCGGCAATCCATTGTCTATTTATAAATGTTGCACCAGCATCACGAGCTTCTCGGAAAGTAATGCATTTAATTCTATCAATCATTCTTTGTTGTTCGGTATCATAAGCGCCAGCCATTTGAAATAACAAACGAAAAAACACTGAGATTTCACTCGACTATAACTTTCAGACAGTCCGAGAACGAAAAAATTTTTCAAATAACTAGTATCACGTGGAGAGAAGAACAGAACGCCAAAGAACCATCTTATTGTGTGAGTCATAGTCATATATCATCATCGTTATCATTTCTCTTTCGTTTTCATAAAAAATGTTCGTTTTCAATGTCTCAAAATGTATGAAAAATGATTTTTAACGTGTTTTTGAAAGAAAATTTCGTTGTTTTTAAAAATTTGGTACACGAAAGTTCTTCAAAGTCTTACTATTTACTATCACTAAACCCCATTTTTCACGGGCTTTCATTTGGTATAAAATTCATGATATCTCCGATTCGAGATCATACTGTTACCCCCCTGGAATAATATTATTTACCACCCTGTATATACATACATAATATTATATATGACATTATTTTCTATTGTGACATAATGACTTGCATGAATATTAATAGCTCGATTAAATGTTTGATGAATTGATGATGATTTAATATATGATAAATTCATATTTCCATTCATATGAAAATGAACTGGATATCGACCGAGGCGAAATGCTTGACCAACATTATATACCTTGATACAAATAAATTTAAAATAAAATCAATCATATACAAAGAAAATTTACTTCAATATTTGATAAACGCAGTATCACTCGTTGTATACCATCAGAACTATCGGTACTAGCACTGACCATGATAGTTGCACCAAATTGATCAGAACCTATATCTTCACCATATCGACCAAGAAAACATGTTTGAACTGCGAATTCACCTACATTTTAAGAAGAAGAAAAAACAATTTTTTTCAGTTAACTCAAAAAAATTTGGTATTGTTTCTTACCAGGATTAAAACCAGTTGGACATGCTGCAATGGATGTATTCCATGTTTCAGTAACTGAGCCTATCATTGCAAAAAAAAAAGTATTTAAATTAGTTATTCATATCATTGACAAACCTTGAAATATAACATTGTGTGACAGAAGACCCACTTCAGCACGAACTTCCACTGTTGTCGAACCAACATTTTGTGTTACACCTAAATGAGTGTATTTCAACGGTGAGTCCAATGTTAATATACGTCCATTGTTTGATACAGCTGTTATAGTACGTATCTCAGTTTGTCCTTGACTTAAATAATCGCCTGTAGTTGCTATGACAATCGTACTGCCCACTGGCCAATCTACTGCTTGACGAAGAGTAATTTGAGATGATCCACTAGAAACTGTTGCAGCCAGATGTGTCCATGTTTGTGTAACAGTTTTTCCATGCATATCCACGATGCCATCTCGTAGTGCCAAAACTTTAGCTCCGACTAAAGAATAAATTAGTCGATAACATTTTTTTTTTTGGTTTTCATTTATGAACATGAAAAGAATATCTTACAGATTGGTAATTCAATTGATCTTAAATGACCATACATCGTAATGACAGCTTTATGCTGAAATGGATTTGTTTCAGTACCAATTTGTAGACGACCACCATTAACAACCAAAATGTATTCAGCATTCAAACTAACGTCTTGATTATCATCAAAAATTAAGGATGCATTGTCAATAATCACAGCTTTAAGAATAGGTGTTGTTGTGTCGAAATAAACTGTCTTGCCATTTTCAATTGAAACAATAGTGCCAGCCTCAGGCGGAATATCACCGCCCCATGTCCATGGACTTGACCAAAGATCAATATATTGATATAGAACTGAGCCGACTGCATTACCACCATTAACCAAATTCACAATCACAAGTTCTTGAGTTGTTGTTCTTGAATAACTACCTGTCAAGCAGGTGATCATTGTTGATGATATTGTTTGAACTGAACATGAAACATCAGCAATACTAACTGATACTGCACTGATTATGGTTCTGAAATATTAGAAAGAGCATTTTCTTTCATTCAAAAGTTGCAACTAAGTTAAAACACTTACGGAAAATTTGTTCCAAAGATTGTTAAAAGTGTACCACCACCAGTTCCCCCTCGACTTGGACTAATTGATATTACGACTACTGTTAAATTCACTTCATAAATATACGACATACTTTGTGTTAAACTTCCAGCAGTAACTGTTAAATTGCATGCTGTATCGGATGAAGCAATAGGTTCCGAAGGTGTAACACAAGTCATTTGTGTATTTGATACAATAACTGCCGATTGACAAGTTCGATTACAAATAGTAATTCTAGCATTGGATCCATTAAATCCATCACCGAAAATAGTTATTGTTTGACCACCACCATAGCTGCCGCGTGAAGGTGTTACATTAGTAACTTGTAAAATATATTGAAACTGAATATTTGAATTTGATTTACCAACAGACTCTACATAAACAACTACTGATTGATTTCCAGCTGGACTTGATCCAAGTGTACATGTAATGGATGTAGTTGACATATTGATAATTGTGCTTGCAATACCACCAATTAAAATACTCGTTTTACCATCAACAAAATTTGTACCTGTAATTGTCAATGTTTCACCAGCACTTCCTGATGTAGGATCAATTGATGTAATTGTAGGTGTAATAGCTGAGCTATACGTTATTGAAAAAGCATCAGAAAAATTTATACCATTTGAAGTAATACGGACTGTAACTGATGATGGATTACTTGCTTGAGCTGGAATTATACATTGAATTTGACCAGGTGCCGTTCGAATTATTGTACATCTATTAGAACCCATCATAACTTGAACATTAGTGATTGAACTAGCAAATCCATTACCATCAATTGTAAGAAGAGCACCACCATAGATACTACTGTTTGTTGGTGAAAAATTTGAAATAGACATCATTGATGTAAGCAGTGCTGATGATAGAACTGTTCCAATATCTATAATGAACATAATAGAAAATAAAGAAATATTTTTGCAAAACATGAAAGCATACCATCAATTGATGCGACAATTGGATGAACTCCAACTTGAATACTATCAATTTGACATACAATAGTTGAGTTGGATACTGATGTCACATTACACATTTGTCCATCGATAGTGACATGAATACTAGTTGCTAGTATTGTATCATTCATTACTAGATTTCGACCAGTCAATGTTAATAATTGTGGACCAGTAATAGATGTCGGATCAACTGAATCAAGATAAGGTGTAATACTTTCAGCCCAAGTAAATGAACATGTTTCGAATGAACACACAGCTGTATTTGTGCCAATCAAGATCGTAATAGGAATAATTTGATTAATATATTCAGGTGGTGGTATTTGAGTAGTAAATATTATTTGAGAATAAGTAATTGTTGCCATACTAGTATATTCAATACTTCCAACAATAATACGAGTATCAACCGGTGTAAATCCATCGCCAATTATTGTAACTTCAGTACCACCATAGATTGAACCTAGAAGAAAGTTAATTTTTTTCTTAGAATAAAACTATGTTGAAAGAAAAATAACCTTCTATGGGTAATACATTAGAAATAGATGCTTGGAATTGAAATTGTATAGGACCATTATTACTTAGATAGCCTTGAAGATCTCGTACAACACGGATATCTTGAATCATTTTAGCATTCAGGGATGAATTCGAAGCAATTTCACAGACGATTTCTGTTGTTGATGCATTTATTATTGGACAATCATAGGATGAACCAATAAAAATATGATTTTCACATAGTACTGTACTAAAATTGGTTCCTGTGATTGTTATGGTTGTACCAGCAGTACCATGTTGTGGTGAAATCGATTCTACTGAACCAATAGTGCATGGTGTAAAAAGGAACTGATGTAAATTTGAATTAGGAATCATTTGTGAACATGAACTTGGATCGATCCAAGAACTTGAATTACATGATGATGTTGGTATAGACGCTAAATATTAATGGGAACAGATTGTTGATATTTTACAAGTTAACTTTATCGATTAAATTTATACCTGAAGCTGTGCAGTAGAGTCGTTGTCCAGTATAGGCAAATGTTGGTGAACACCATTCTTGAATATCATTTACTGTAGTACACGATGTATAATTGACAGAATCATAGTTGAATGGAAAAGCACATGATTGAGCTAAAAATGAAAGATAAATGTTGTTCAATACATAAGAACTAATTGCATAGAAAGTTTACCGTTAAATGTTCCCGATGTGACTTTCACCGTAAGTGTCTGTGGTTGAGCAGGAACTACTGTTATTACTCCACGCATAGATATCAGACCAGATGAATCAATAAATGATGACCAATAGTAATAAGTATCCATTGTTTGAAATTGATATGAAAATGATCCTATACATAAGCAAATGAATCATAAAGATCTTTTAATACTAAACAGACTCTATTGGATAAGATGATCTATTCAAATTTAAGAAATCTCAAGTATGGCAGGTTGTAGAACAAATCGAGGCGTGCCGAATGACAAATGTTAGGTCTTATTTTCGTATGACTGCAGGAAATAGTGTCAGTTTGTTGATAGACAACTATTATACTGATCATTGTACTTCTAGGTATCAGTCGACATTATTTCTAAAAATATTTTTCTTACATACAGTTTTGTTGAGCTTTTCACACACTACAATGTTATATAATTAACATTTTAAACCAGTCTATTTTTGAAAAAAAAAATTTGCAAATTTTTCAATCGTTTACCATCATGTTTCACTAATGCTGGGTCTCCTTAGCTTCAATAGTGTCGACTATAGATGTAACCAAATGCCAAACTTTCTCCAAAATTAACAGCGACGTAGCACTACAAAGCACACTTTGGAATTTCTCCAAGATAAATACGTGACCCAGGCAGACAATAAACGGCCAGAAAGGCGTTTAAACGCGTTAAAAAAGCGTTTACACCGTTTTAACTGGTTTAAACGCGTTTACTACTGATTTTTTCACTTTTAAATCGTTTTTACAGTTTATTTTCAACTAAATTCGACAAAACCATTAAAAACGCCCCAATTTCGTGTTTTTTTCGAAAAAAAAACGTTTTAACAGTATTTTTCCGTTTTGCTTCGATTACCAAAAAAACAATCAAAACTACAAAAATTTTATTATTATGCTGACAGTAAATCATGTGCATCGTTACTAACTAGTTGTTAGTAGGTGATAGTCTGCGCTACTAATCTGTTACTAATGAGTAGTAAATTTTTAATTTAACTATTCTGTAATAGTTATACCTGTTTGAATGTATCTAAATCATGTAACACAACATAGTGAGTAATCAGTCTGGTTACTTTCTAGTAAGTAATAAGTTTTAAAATTCGTTGTTTATAAGTAACAGGCAACTGATGGTTAGAATACGTATCTTTTCCTAATAAACAGCAAAGAATCAGATCCGATATTTACTATTAGCAAACAGAAATTTTAAATCAAGAAAATTTTTTTATTGTCATTAAGTCGAAGTCAAAATTGATAGTAGTATAACGATCTTACTGAAAATACTTCGCGTAGTGAGTTTACATATTCTATATTGATGTATTGTCAGTGTATCTACTCAGCAATATTCCACTGTCAATTGAAAACCGTTAAGACAAATATTGTTCGGTGTTAATATCTGATGAGAATGTAACAAGGCTTATCTTTGATTTGCCGCAGAGTAACTGCCATAAACTGATTTGCTTAACAGAAATAGGCGTGCAGCACATCTCATGCTGAATATCTTTAACAATCAGCGTGTAGACAATTAACATTATAGTGATTTGTTCAATGAATATTATAACATCATCTTAACCAATATTGGTTTATTTTACTGCACATTTAAGAAGATTAATTCTAGCTCAGTTGTATTTTGTGAATTATAATAAGTGCAGACAAATATTGTTAATGCTCAGAAACTAAATGGAAGGGGGAAATCATAATTAATGTTATTACATGTTAGTATATCATACTAACAACATAAACGATTCCTTCCTTCTTAGATTATATGATAATCATAATCTTCTCTATTTCTCTTTTAAAAGTGCAAGTACGTATGGGCAACAATCATGTTTAACCAAGATAAACAAGTTATCCTGTTCTCATATAGGTTATAATTAAAAAATGACATAGAGATTAGCTGTTTCAATAAAAGTTTCAAAACTTGACTATTGTATATTTCATCTAGCTATCATCGTCACATAGAAACAGAGTTATCATCAGTCCACATTTGCAAGAAATTTTTTCCATTCTGTCTTTTCTTTCCGTCCGTTCAGTTCACAGAAAAAGGAAAAAAGAGGTCATTCTTTTATCACTCTCTCGTCCGATTATTCGTCTGTTCTTTTCATTTGGAATTCATTTGTGTTCTGTTTCGTTCACATAGTTGCCTAACTGAGTAGGCCATTTTTTTTCTAACGTATACTTAAAATTAATGGTAAATTCACTATATGTAATGGCACATACTTCTTTTGTGTAAAACTGGATATGTTCGAATTAGATAAGTTCTTTTCTGCGGAAATCACTCAGAACGAGAGAAAGAATAGGACACTTACTGCATGGCTATTAATAGTGAGTTTCTGAGAAAAATACTTCAATATTCACTAGGTTAGTGTTGATTTAGACATAACATGTACGATACTTTTGACAATACAACTAGCAGAGTCGCTCGCAGACGATAAACATAGCAGGGTCCATTAAATATTCCTCACTTGAAATGTTTCATATATAATGTTCATCACGAGTACGTGTGACATATGAGACGTTTGAAACAGTTGGGTTTTCTACTCGGTGAAAAGGGAATCCTAAGTCATCGAAATATGAATGAGCTTTAAAAGAAATATCGTCGCTACAGGAAAAAGCAGATAGCATTCTGATGCATAGGTGTGCCTTAATCAATTTCGCGACCAACTTAATACACACTCATTATGAGATTTCGTAGTGCGTTGATGACATTTCTAGTTATATCATATCTCCGTACTTTGATATTTTAGAATTTGATCGAAATGAAGTTAAATTTATTAATGATACTTGAAAAGAACATCTGTCTACCATAGTAGTTCCGATTGTAGTTTTCCTTATATTAGAAGCTGGTTAGATAGTCCGTGCTTTGCCTTTTTATCAATTCCTGTGTTAGTCGTACTATTTTAAATCTATTCATCAGTCTATCTTATCCGTCACTTATTTGAAACATGAATGGAAATAATTCAGTTTTCTTCTCGTTGATAAACTGACCGATTATATTCAGATTATCATTAGATTAATGTTAAATTGACATATGTTTATTGTTTATACTTTGAAAGCAGTGCAGAGAATTAAATCTCTCATCAGTTCGTTTCGTTTTATGTTAAGAGTAAGTTTACATTTTGCCATTTACTTGTTGGTATTTTTTTCTTTTTGTTTTTTATCTAATAGTGGAATGGTATGACAAGGTGTTAATGCTGTTCGATTAAACCTACATTTTTTATCTTTCTTTCCACTATTGAAAAAAAACAAAAAGAAAAAAATATCAATAAGTAAATAGTAAAATATACACTTACTCTTAACATAAAAAGAAACGAACTGATGAGAGATAAATTCTCTGCACTGTTTTCAAAGTATAAACTATAAACATATGTCAATTTAACATTAATCTAATGATAATTTGAATATAATCGATCAGTTTATCAATGAGAAGAAAATTTAGTTATAAATTATTGATACTTCATCGTTTAGATGAAACGTTTGTTGATCATTAAGAGGCGTGACAAGGGAAATTATTTCAACTGTTTAAACAGTGTCATTAGTCGCCAAAAACGCGTTAAAACAGTTACAATTTCAATGACTCCAAGCGTTTAAACATGTAAAACGTGTTAAAAGTTAATTTTTCATAAACTGTTTTAACGCGTTTTTGGCGACTAATGACACTGTTTAAATAGTTCAGATGTTGAGATGTTTAAACGCCGTTTTTGCCGTTTTGTTGTCTGCCCGGGGATGCCCGAAGTAGCCATATATTAAAGAATCTTATCCGATTTTGTACGTTTATTATGTCGATTCCGAATATTATGTGTATTTTGCACTAGAATCGACTTTTGATGGTCAAAATATCGAAATACAAAATTGAAAGAAGAAAACTGACGTGAAAAATTGTTTAAGATTTCTCAATATAATGCTACTTTGAATATCAGACACTTATGTGGGAGAAATTCAAATAGTGTGCTTTGTTGTGCTAGATCGCGAGTAATTTCTGAAAAAGTTTAGCATCTGCTAACGTCTTCTATGATCGACACTGGGAGATATGGGAACTCACCATTATTGAAAAGTTTCATTTTTTCCTAGCAGAAATAAGGTGATCGAAAATGTTGAGTACACGAGCTTGTAGTTCATGAAAAGCTCTCCAAAACTGTATATGAGAATTTTTTCGCAAACAATATCAAATGATAACAAGCTGCACAATGATCAATAACTGATCAATATTTTAGGCGCATAGTCTTCTATTTGATTTCTCAATGCTCAATAGGTCATCAACTCTAATAGAGTCCTTTGATTCTTTTTAGTTGTTAGTTACCTGATGATGTTGCATTCCCTGAATCAAATCCGCCAGGTAGTGGTTCTGTATCATAACCATTAGCTACTTGTTGTACTTTATAAGCAAGTGTTGATAAAAGAGTTGATGTATTCCATTGCCATTCGACAATAGTACCCTGTTGTACTGTTAGATATTGTGGTGACCAAGCAAAACCACTTCCATATATTGGATCAATACCATCTGATGTGATAATAACACGAGATATAGCACTAATTGTTTGACAATGAATTTGATTTGATTCAATAGAAACAATAGTGCATGGTTTATTGTTATTATTATTATTATCATCAGTAAATGTAACAACAGATGAATCATCAAAACCTTCTCCTTGTATATAGACATCAGTTCCACCATATAATGAACCAATTTGTGGTGAAATATTTTGAATATAGAAACGATATTCAATTTGTACTAATGGGCGAGCATAACCATTTATTGTCGAAACTTTCATGGGATAAATACCAGGAGCTAATGAAGGTAGAATAGCAAGAACTTGAGTAGATGATATTGAAATAACAGTTGCCTTTATTGTACCAATAAATACAGAAACTGAACTAGTACCAAAATTTGTTCCATTAATAGTCAATTGACCACCAGCCGTATTCACAACATTAGAACTAACTGATATAATTGAAGGTGTATTAGTAACATTGTATGTGAATTGAGTAGATGCGCTGATGAAATTAGAACCATCAGTAACAATCACAGATACTTCACTATCATTAATAGCAGTCGTAGGTGGTACAGTACATGTTATAGAAGAAAAATTAAACATTATAAGATCAGTA